AAGAGGAAGCGAATATTCTAGTTCAGCAGTTGAATGAAAGGATGGAAAAGGGTGGATTCCGCTTAAGGAAGTGGATTTCAAACAGTTCAGCTATTTTAGAGAATATTCCCGAGTGCTTACGAGAATCCAGTATTTTTCTTGAAATAACCAGTGATAAGAAAGTGAAGGTATTGGGCATTAATTGGCTACATTTAGTGATACATTCATTTTTCAGAATGCATAAATGATAAGGAGTGCACCAAGAGGAATATTTGATCAGAGGGTAGCCAAAATCATTGATCCAATAGGATGGTTAGCGCCAACAATGATATACGCGAAAAAATTATTACAATAGTTATGGAGTTTTTTGCTTGGTTGGAATGAAATCGTTGACAAGAGAATAAGCAGAAAATAGAAAAGTTTCTACTTAAAATTACCCTTACTATCAAGCTTACAAATTCCTAGGTATGTCTTGAGTCCTAAGTCAATAATTATAGAAATTCATGCTTTTTGTGACCTTCAGAAAAACCTTATTGTGCAGTCATCTATCTCAGAACAATCAGCTCTGATTCTTCAGTCAAAGTTAACCTTCTGACATCAAACACCAGAGCTGCTTCCTTAAAAACCTAGTGTCTTCCAAGACTAGAATTGTGTACTGCGTTACTTTTAAGCAACCTCTTACATGCATAAAACTGCCAATTAACAGTATTTAAGCATGGACAGACTCACGGGTTACACTGGCATGGGTTCTATCCGAGCCTCGCCATTAACTACCTTTTGTAGTAAACCAGGTTCCGAAGATTCAGTAAGCTGTTCCAGGTATTTAATGGAATTATGTCGCTGGAAAAGAAAATCCTGCAGACTGTGGGACCAGAGGTCATATTCCATCAGAATTCTTACAATGCGAGTTATGGATGAAGGGACCGCAGTGGTTAAACGAACCCCTAATTTATGTACAGGAAAGATTCAAGTGTAGAATTAGAAGGGTGAATTATGTTATGTTGAAAGAATTGAAAAGAGTTTCAGTTCAAATGTTTCCAAATTTGAAGAGCTAGTGTGTTTTCAATGATTTCATCATGGTTTAAAGTTATGTCGAGTGTTAGCGTGGTGTTTAAGATTCAGAAATAGTTGTAGTAAGTTACCTACAGAGCGTATAAAGGGTTATTTATCTACTGAAGAATTTTGTGAAGTTACTTCTATGATTGTTAGGATTGTACAAAGAGCCGAATTTCCAGAAGAATTATTCTGTCTAGAATCTGGTAAACCCTTAAAGACATCAAGTAAACTACTGTCTTTAAGTCCCTTCTTGGATTCCGCAGGAATAATGCGTGTAGGCGGAAGGCTCAGAAACTCTACAGTTTCAAATAATCAGAAACATACTATGATTTTACCTAAGAATCACAATGTTACGCGTTTAATTATTAAGCATTATCATGACACGTATCTTCAGCAGGTACCGCAGCTACTACACTTCTGTTATACGACATAGATTTTGGATTGTGAATGCTAGAGATATTATAAGAAAGTGTATAAACCAATGTGTTATCTGCCATAGATTTAGAGCGCAAACTTCAACTCAGCTAATGGCAGATTCACCTGCTTCAAGAGTTACTCAAAGTAGAGCTTTTTCTCGTGTAGGAAATGATTTAGCAGGACCATTTAACGTTAAATATCGTCTTGACAGAGGAGTTAAAATCTTTGAGTCTTACGTATATCTACTTATCTGTTTTGCTACAAGAGCAATACATTTAGAATTAGTTGGAGATTTTTCAACAAAATCATTCATTGCGATACTTAAGCGGGTTTATAGCTCGTAGAGGCAAACCGTGTGAAATTCACAGTGATTGTGCAACGAACATTATAGGAGCTAATGAAGAATTAAGGAAAGCCTTTTCTACTGTTCTACGTGATGAACAGCTACAGAGTTATATTTCTTCAGAAAATATTAAATGGTTATTTAATCCTCCCTCTGCCCCTTATTTTGGAGGGCTTTGGGAAGCGGATATCAAGTCCATGAAACATCACTTAAAAAGATGTTTAGGATCACTTATTTTAACATACGAGTAATTTTTGACATTAATAACCTAAATTGAATCCTTTCTTAATTCTAGGCGTTTGGTACCAGCTTCAAGTGATTGTAGTGACTTGCAGGCGATAACACTTGAGCACTTTTTAATCGGAGCGGCTTTAAGCGCTATTCCAGAATGTAATCAAATTCAAGAAACGATAAGCTGCAGTGATCGTTGAAGGAACGTGCAAAGGTTATTTCAACATTTCTGGAAGAGACGGAGCAGTGAGTATTTATCTAGGTTGCAGCAGAGACCCAAGTGGTACAAGTTGCAGCAAGATCTGAAGGTTGGTGATATGTTTCTTATTAAGAACGAAAATCTACCTCCGCTATGTTGGAAATTAGGTAGAATTATTAAAGTGCATCCTGGTCTTGATGAGAAAGTTCGAGTGGTGAGTTTACGCACTTCCTATGGTGAAATAAAACGACCTATAGCAAAGCTATGTGCTTTGCCATTTAATTCCTGATTTAGAACTTTAATTTTATTTTTCAGGTTTATTCAGTTAAAGTTAAGTTTATTGTTTGAACCCCCTTGGGACTTCAAGGCTGCGGGTATGTTCGATGTTATGCAAATGTATTTTCTTTGTACCGAGGAGCGGCGCAGACGCAAATTGTTAGGTTTTAAAGCTCGCGTTTAGAGCTTTGAGGTTGCTGTGAATTACTGGAGTTTCAACTAAGCAGAGGTTCTTCTGAGTTTGTGTGGTAAGCCGCTACTGAAGTCTGAGGTTTCAATGTGGTCTTCGCCGTTCCTCAACCAACTTAATGTTTGAAAGTTAATAAAGAAGTTTCGGCCAACATTATGACTCTGAGGTTTCTTGGGTTCTATACTGAAGTAATATCAAGTCAATTTACAGTCCGCTATTTTTAAACAACGGAACGTACATATATATATATTTATGCAGATTCTTCATTATTTAATTTCTTTAAATATAATTCAGAGCTCTAATATTTGGTGGCAACAATTTGAAAAGTGAACCGACATTTATAGCGAATCAACGCAAAATGCCAAAACGAAATTAATAGCCCCTTTGGACAAATAAACATCGAAAAAATGTGCATGTGTTCGAATATAATTTAGAGTAATAAACAACTAAAAGATATTTTATATGCAACTTCTCATACTATAACACAGAATGGGTGAAGGGAAGTTTCTAAAACTTTATACAAGTGATGAATATGAAAATAGCTTAATTCTAGGATGTAAAAGGTTAGTTTTAATTTTTCTTTAAATTTCCTTCCTTTTATTTAAACTTTCCTTTTATTTCAGAGCTAATTCACGTAAGAAATTTAAATACCAAAAATAGTCTGTGTAATGGCATTCTCTAATTGCCAAGCAGTTTTTTACAAATTGATTAAAATAAGGATTCTCATAAATTCCCCAAAACTTCACAATGTTTTTTTGTTTTGTTTTGTTTTGTTCGAATAGACATAGCACCGACAGACGCGAACTTTTCCTTCATTATTGAAACAAGGGAATTTAATGTTATTATTCTCTATTTGTCACTGCCATGACTAAGTCCCAAGAAAGTCTTTGGGTTTAATCCTAGCATACGGTACAGACGGGATTTGGCGACATTATGAAGAGCACTAAATGTAGTATTTGTGATTAACAGTAAACGAGTCGTTTTGGTATTAGCGACAGCTTTCAAAATCACGCCAAGACCGTACCTAGGATACTAGGATTTTACCAGTCTTTTAATTATTGTAAATGGATAGCTTATGTTTTATGAAAGAAAAGTATTTACAAAGAATATTGTTCATAATGAAATAATTAAATGACACACAAAATGAAAATTAGAATAAATTTTTACTTAAAGTTTTCTTTTTTTTCCCCTTTTCTTTTCATTCCCCCCCTTTTTTTTTAGATTCCTATACTTTGCACCCATCCCAGTCACTGCATTTGTATTCAAAACACACACCTGGCCGGCATTACACCCAATAAGAAATTATTTATACATGCTACCCTCTGATTTCTCAACAGGTAATATGCTAGTCATTAATAATGCAAACTTCTGTTCTTGCTTTGTTATTAGTAGAATTTTGCAAATTGCATCTTTTAAAATTTGCATACTGGTCATGTATTCTGTTATATAGTCATCTTTCAGTACTTGTGTTAAAAATATTTTCATTTAATCTTCCATCTTCCTGTATTTCTACCATTTGTCTGTAGTACTTTGCAATTATGTTGTTTCAAAATTCTATAATTAATAGCTAATAATCCCTCTGTTTCAGAATATTTCGTTCTTCTGTGGAGGTCATCCGTCGCGATGTTCAGTAACGATATTTACTCATAAATATTAGTCGCTTCCGGAGATTGGGAAGGTGGTGGCGGTAAGAGATTCCTTTATAATTAGTTTATAAATAATTGATCACTTTATTTTTCTGTCTTATTATGGGTTCTTTTTTTCATAAATATGATAATTAATTAATTTCTTTAATCCAGAGACGGATTACAACTTTTAGAGGCACTAAAGCACTTAAAAGATTTTGGTGCCCCCATACATTTACGCTAATTTTTTCACCATTTCTTCTCTCTTGGTTCATGCATTTCATAGTAAAACTTGCTTCAAGAAATTTTTATAGTTCCCTCTTTCCTGAGTTCCTTAAGTACTTTTTTGTGGTGTCCCTTTCTTGAAAACCGTAAGAACGTGCTTATTTTGCTTAATCCTTTAATCTTTAGTAAAGCAGATGTTTAGTTAAAAAATTGCAGTTATTCATTAGAACAGCCTAGCCATTTATTAATTCACGTAGAAAAAGGAACATATTTGTTTGCTAGTTCTGAGTCCACTGTATTAAAGTTATACCTGAATCCACAGATGTTTCTTGTAGAATGCGAGTTACTGATGAGTGCGCGTAAGGAATATTTGGAAACAGTCCCTTTTCAGCTGCGCAAACACATGCGTAAAAACAAGATCGATCGCGCAACATCAAGGGGAAAATGTTACGTCCACCCGTCATTTTCGCCATTCATTGAAGCACGTAAAAAAATTAGCAGTCAGCTGCTTCTCCCTTTCTAGTCTTGCCAGAGAGTGCTTTCGCACCGACTGCGGATATTCTTGATGTGTCTCAGCGCAAAAGAATGGCTTTACTTGTTAACCACTTAAATAGGAGTTTCATTCTAAATGGAATCTTTTCTACCAAAGGTTGTAGAATACATTTGATTTTGACGAAAGAGAATATTTCGTGGGAAGTTGAAAATGAACCAAAATGTAAGTAAACTTTCAAGTTTAAAATTTTCTTCAAATAAATGGAATATTTCCCTAAAAGCGGTGTAAATTTGAAATTATAGTACCGGCTTCTCAGATATCAGTTCTAGTTCCGGTACGCGGATGATAACAGGGCGCACGAGATAAACAAACATTCTGTCATGTTACCTTTACATTCGTTATTTATGGAATGGAATAACCAATGAACATTCACAAGTGTTATGTCATTCCTGTTATCTTTCGTAGCATTGTAATCCTATATTTCAGAATGTAAACGATTGAGTGTATTTTTTAGCGGTATCTTTCCGAAAAGCATTTGTATAAACTTAACAACACTTGCAGTAATAGCTCGTAACTTAAAACAATATGACCTTGATATTATTTTTCTAATCAATACAACATTTGAATTTTTTAAAATGAATGTCTTCATATAAAAATCTTAGAATTTTAGAGAATCCTCATTAAAGTGTATTTTCAATTGTAACAGTGTTGCAATTTAAAAGTAATTACTGTTTAATAATATATTTAACGTAAATAAAAAAGCGCTGCATTCATGGCGAAATTGCGCGGATTTGTCTCTTGCCTATTCAGTAACAGAAGGCTAGTTTTTAGTTATTTATGATTGAAATGCATCACTTTTATTATTAACAGTTTTTATGGAATGGTTGAAATATTTTCATAATAGAATATACTGAATATTTAAAATAAAATCATGTTAAAATCTAAATAACAAATTTTATCTGAAAACAAGAATTATAGTAACGTATAATATTGGAAATTAAGTGAAATTTTTTTAATCAAAATCCCCTTTCATAGGGTTTTAATGAAAAGTTAATGTAAGTTTTAAGTGTTAAAAATATGTTTTATTAGCTTCAGTATTGTTCTTTATATATATGTTTTCTTTGTATTTACTTATTTGTATGTTTTTTTTAGTTTTAATCTTGATTATTCTAAATACATAAGAAATGTTTTAATTTGAAAGCTTTCTTAATTTGATATGGCCCAGTTGTTTTTTGGAATAAATATTAGCTTGTTATCCTCTGAAATTTATAATTTATTTAGTTCCTTTCTTAATTATATTCTAAAAGCATTATTGTGTTATTTTGGATAAAATTCTGCATTGTATGTAGCAGGGCAATACTTTGTGGTATATTTTTTTTAAAGTTTTTTTTTTTTTAAATAAGAGTAAATTATCTGTGAAAATGTAAGTAAACTAATAAGTTTTTATGTGACTGCAGATAACTTTGAAATGCTTTTTCCCATTAACAATAATTATCTGAGAAAAATACCAAAATATTTTCCTCAGTAGTTTGGTTGGCAACTTGTTTTAACACTAAAAATCTTCAAAATTCCATTGAGTAACGTTTAGTTTTAATTGATAATATCATTTAGATATGTTCTGTGGTATGGTACCAAAGTCTTTTTGACTCTGTATTGCTATTGGGAAAGTATCAATATTTTTGATAATATAGTAATAGTACTTAATTACTCAAATCTAAAGATGTGTTAAAACTTTTTACATTTCCACATTGAAAATCATTTCTACATTTAATACTTATTCCATTTTTCATTTTTCTTGTTAATTTTATATTGATGTTCATTTTTTAAACTGTGGAATAAGTAAAATATTCAGTTTTTAAGTTTATTATTTAAATGATTTTTCTAACAGAAAATATTGTCATTTAATGATATTTTTTCCCTCCCCAGCACAAACTGTTATTCCTTTGGGACGTTTAGTTAGTGTCACTCCTTGTGATTGTTCAGGTTTCAGACAACCAAAACCTTCACAATGTAGTTACTGCAGGCATCAGCCAAACAATATCACCAATTCAGGGTCTGGACTGCTGTCAACGCATGCAAAATCAATGAAGTTGCATTTTGCTGTGCCCTTTGGTAGACATATGTGGAAGTTAGAAAGTCAGATCTTTAGACCACTTGAAAGCACAAGATTAAAAGATTGGATCGATTCCATACAGGATTCTCTTTCAGGTAAAGTATATTAAAAGTAACAAAAATTTAATGTTTTGCAATCATATGTAATTTCAGTATGAAAAGTATACACACATGAACTAAAATCTTAATTACATTAAAATCTCTTTGTTGGTTATGAGGGGTTGAGAATGTAATAAAAATTATAAAATCCAACTTTTTACTCATTCCTCCAGTTCCTATACTTATATTTAGTAAAATGTTTTACTTGTTATAAAAAGTAAAATGCAATATGTTTGACGCCTGTAGGATGAAAATTGATTGAGATATTCAATATTAAAAATTCAAGATCATATTCAGCATCATATGCAAGCTGAAGAGCAAAATGTTCCGTTTATACGAAACTAAAAATTAAAAGTTGTTTACAAAATGGTTTCTGGTATTGAAGAGGATAAAAGTTTACAATTGGGTGCCCTTTCTTTTTTGGTACCAGGAAGGCGCAATTTCGATATGGCCGCTACACAAAACCAAAATAAGAAGTCAAAGAATTGCACAAACTCTGTATCCATGTACACATCGATCTGTTTTCATTTTAAAAAATATCCTAGAATTGCACAAACTAGGCATTGCACACTGCCTTAAATTTGTCCATGTACACATCAATCTATTTTCATTTAAATAAAATCAGGAAGCTGAAACAAAGTTAAAACTATCATGGTAACCAAAAGTAAGGTTTCATCCCAAAATTAAAAAAAAATTGTCGCTAATCGAAGGGGCACCCAATTCTATACTAGAGCCTTGAAGAGATTAAATGATGAGCAGCTGAATGCGGATTGTTGTAAAAAGTATTGATCAGTAAAAAATATTCATAATGGAGATCATATTCATAGAATCTTATTCTTATCATAGTTTAGAAAATATTGGCAGGTTTCAATCTTGGCGAGTAGTCAACTTATATTTGCATTAATTAAAAATGAAACTTTTTGTATCGTAATGAATTTTTATGATTATCACGTTATGATTCTAAAGTAATAAAACTTCATGGGAATATTAATAATGTATTTTTATAAATTGCTTGTAGGAAAGTTCTTTTTACATACTAAGTATACAAAATTATACATGAAGACATTAGTAAATAACAAAAAAATATCATTGAATAGCATTTAAAGAGGGAAAAAAAACCTTGAATTATTCAAATTTATTTATTAAATGACCCGCTAGTACAAACTGAAAATGGTGTCTAATAATGCCAATTTTGAATTTAAGCATCTCTTATTTTATAAAACTTTTTGTGTTTTACTTTTTATAATAATAAGTAGAAATTTTCCTAAGCATTGGAACTGGATCAGTGTGTGAGAAGTTAGATTCTGTAATTGATTTCTTTTAATTAAAAAATACCAAGACATCAATATTTGCATCATTTAACATATTTTGATCACTAAGTAGGTGTCTACAAGAAATTGTTGTGAGAATGCAGGCCAGTTAAGGGCTTTTCTAGACATGGTGTATATACATATTTACATATTAATTTTAAAGCAAATATTGCAACTTTTTATTTTAATTAACATAAATATAAACTGTATATGTTATGTAAGAACAGTTATCATGTGGAAGCCTCCCATGCTCTTAGGTAGACCTTGGGTTAAACCAATAGCTCTTATTTTTCTTGAATATATTTTTATGGATTCTTAAAAGTACAAATCAATGAGTATGCATCTTCTGTTCTTTATGCTGATGCACAGTTTCATTTTTATAGTCTTGCGTATGAAATATCTTCAATACGTTTGTTTCTTATTTTTGAACGTTAAAAGAATTGGTAACAAATGTTTAAATGTACATTTACGGTTACTCGTTTTTTGTTATGAAATTGAATACCATCGAGTTAAAAATGTAATGGAGAAGTACTATTTATTAATGCTTTTGTGCCATTATTAAGTGAACAGCATTTTTTGTAAGGAGAAGAATAAAAAACAGTAATAAATATTAATCATAATTGATGAGGTGCACTCTCTAAGAACCATCATAGCACATACATTTTAGAAGACCCTGAATTTTAATTTCACCAGCTGCTAATTGACTATAAATGTACAATTATTAAAAAAAAAAAGAGTTATTTGGAATAGAAATTTAGGTACTTTAGCTGATATCTACCAGTGCACCATGGACAATCTATTGGTGCCTTTTGGCTGTAAAATATATTTTTTGATGCCAGCAGATTGATGAAACAGGTTTCTTGATTTCCAGCAGGTATTGTCAAATGCAGTCTATCCTCCACATAAGTTCTACTAAATAAGAACACAAATGATATGTCAGAATTCCCAGTTCTTATTGTGAAGTTTTTTTGCCGGTTAACATTGTATTTTTATTGCATATCTTCCATCATGTACAGTTTCATTGTGTGAGAATTAGAACATTCATGATTTTTTGGCAAAGTACCATATACTGGAAGTAATGCATTTCTTTTGCATCAAATAGTAACTATCTGATACAAAATGCAGTAAAAATTGAGATGAATGTTTGGTCCCGAAAACTTCCTATTGGGAAAGAGTTGTGAGAAAAATAATAAATGCAGATATCTGCTTGTGCCAGTTGGTCTTGACATTAATATAAATAAATAAATATACCCAAAAGGTCAGTGGGCCAGCCACAGCATATTTGTGAAGGGCAGGGGAGAACCATCCTAAGCTATCATATGCATCAGTGAAGTGTTAACAAAAAGATTTTTAAGAAAATATGAAGGCATCCAGAACGGCTTCTGAGCTTGCTGGAATCAGTTAGTGGAGTGGGTATCCTTGCATCTCGAACAGTGGGGTACCAGGTATTATATAACTACTGAAAGTACAAGTGAAAGTTATTTATAAAACTGTTGTCTATAATGCTTATTGAAATAAAGGCTATGATATTCCTTACTATTGTTCAAGTATATAATATATGCGATTTCAAGAATCGATATTAGTTGATTTCAGTATGATGGAACTTCAAATGAAACGATACAAATGTGGACGGGAACAGCTTTATATGTGTTAAGTTTGTGCTGTTAGTTTGGTATCTTATGATAAACTTTTAAACTTAAAATTGGTGGAAACAAGAAAATTGTTTAAATAAATTAAAGTCTTTTTCAATCAAAAAAGAAAAAAAAAAAAAAAAAAAGGTGGTGGCTGCGTTTTTATTTTACAAGTCTGTTTTTGGAGAATTATCTTGAAAAATAAATGAGTGTCATATAATTAGCTGAATTTAGCTGCTGACTAACAGAAGTTCACTTAAAAGCAGAAGTCTCATGCCATGAATGGTCAAAGATATAAATACTGGGCTGTTTTGTGCATTGCATCTTCTTTTTTTAATGTTAATATGTTGAATGTACCTTTTTTAAAAAATCTACATTGAATTTTGCATGAAATCCTCCAAACGAACTTGATGTTTAATTTAATTCATTACATCTTAGACAGAAATTTCATTTAAAAGTATAACATTTCATTCAAATACACTGTTTTTTTTTTTAAACTGGGTTAATTTTTTTCCATTATGTCTTTTTTATTGCTAATGAGAAACATTTTAATATGTTTCAGAATTAAATCGCCCAAAAAGTCTCCTAATCTTCATAAATCCATATGGAGGAAAGAAGAAAGGAGTGAAAATTTTTGAAAGAAAAGTTTCACCCCTTTTTCATTTAGCTGGTATTGAATCTCATGTTGTAGGTATGGAATAAAAGAGTGGTATTAAAAATTTTTTGTTCTCTTCATGGTAATTTTATTATTTAGAGATTTATTTTCTTATGCTAGGTTGATTGGTATAATTAATAAAAGTTACAGCATTTGTTTTATAACCAAATACTTGTTTTAACTTCTGTAAAATATCTTGCTGCTATTTATTAAGTGCATATCTATTTTTTCTTAGTGGGTAGCCAGACTAAATACACAGTCCAGTCACATTAATGTGACCACCACCTACTTTTGACATCAACGTGAAGTAACCAATCTCAGAAGGTAGGTGGCAGTACATTGCAGTGGAGTATATATATACAGTCAAAAGTCGTTAATTCGGACACACATAATTCGGAATGATCTATAATCCGGACATCAAAACTAAAAACTTTCTGCGCATGCGCCGTTACGTTACCAGCGAAAAAGCATCCAAATGAGTGTGCTTGCGAAGAGTGCATTTAACCAATAGGATTTTTTTGTGCAAAAATCACATGGTGCTGTAATATAGCATCAACCGAGCTGTATCTTATTACTTCGCTATGCTTCTGTATGTTTGCGGCAAGTTGTCCGAATCAGATGATTTTTTGATAGCTGAAACTTTACATCATTAAGCAGAGGCAAAAACGCAAAAAATTGGCAAGAATGGATCCAAAAGATTTATTTAGAGCAACCTGTTAAAAGAGATTTTTTTCTTTACTGCCTCGCTTGCGAAATGAATATCCGGAATTATCAAATTCTTACGATTATTCGCAATATCCATATATCTTGTTCAAATTTTCAGTCGTTAATAAAATAATTTTTATTCATCCACTCATTATTCAAATACAATTTTTTAAACATGTAGTGGATAACACTTGATGTTAATACAACTTTTTCACATATTAAAATTTTAATTAAAAAAATCTGTTTGATTTTAATTTTGTATTTTAAAATTTTTTTTAGGTATTACTTTTTTAATTTACTTCGGATGAGTATTGACCAGTTTGACAAACTGCAAAAATTCTATTTGTATGAAAATTAGGATTTATAAAAGTGGTTGGAATACCGGTATAAAGAATTAAATTAATAATTCTTTTATATACACATTCAAATATAATAAAATGAACTAATATTTTTTAACTCACCCTTCCTGGTCTTTGTGTTTTTCTTTTATGTATTTTTGATTTAGAATGAGGTTCAAAACTTTGGACAGTTTATGAGAAATTATGTGCATTGATAAATATGCAATAAAGTAAAATAAAAGAGATAATTTATAAATGATATAAGATAGATGGCAGATATATCATTACATAAGGGTTCCTATTTGCAATGCACATTTTTAAAACTAAATTAAAAAACAATAAAATAATGAATAAAATAAGAAATGAAAACAATAATAATAGGTAAAATAAGAATATAATGATTCATGATTTAAATATAAAGAAACACGTTTCAAAATGAGAAAAGCTAAATGAATTATTGGTCTGGGTGAGTTCAAACTTGCCACCTTTCCTTCGTAATGCAGCGGGTGGTGGACCACTCAGCTGTCGGTGATAGCAGTGTTTGTAAAAAATTTTGTAACAAGTAGAAGTCACTGCAAAGGTAATTGATTAATATTCAATAATGCCAGTATGACCCAAGTTGTAACTTTGCTCCAAAATTCATAATTGTATTTTATTGAATACTCTTTCACAGTCAACTGCTTACTTTAGAAGTTGTTATATTGAGAAGTTAGTTTTTGGTGTATTTAATATGGGGATATTATAGAGCTTGTTATGACAATGATATAGGGAATATTTATAATTAAGGAGAATTTGTAAGGCAGAACTTTCATTTTGTAGAAACTGAATTATTTAGATTCCTATTACTTATGGTGTTATAAAAAGGTGAAGCATATGGATATGCTGGTTGGTTGGATCAGTGCTTTATAAATATACAGTTTTCGCCTTTAATGTGAATTTAAAATTTATGCCAATATTTGGGAAATGTGAGGATGGCGTGACCAATGCTGATTATTTTATTGCTGTATACAGTTACGATATTTCTAAGCAAAAACTCGTCTCTGTTTGGTTCTGATGACATATTGAAATGGGTAAGCAAGAAGATTTTCCTATTATGACATGCGATAAGAACTCCGTCGGCTATTGGCTGTTTGTTCACGTTATGGACGTAAAAGCTGAACAGGCGTGAACTCAGTTTTACGTCTTCTGCATAATGCAAATTTACGCCAGCGGGAAAAAATTGTGTCAATTACGCCACGAGCGTACTCGTGTGGATGGGCCTTAAGAGAATCAGAAAGCATTGCAATTGTTGCCGTAATGCTAGAAATGGAGCAATTTATGTGGCCTCCAAAACGGCATGATCATTGGCTTTCTGGCACTATCTGAAATCAGTGATGTAGCAAATGTGGTGCACCCCAGGCCATAGATGACAGAGGTGAATGATAGTTGTGGAGATGCGTTGGGGCAAAAAGACATGCAACTGTTGAGCAACTGACCACCCAGATAAACCAAGGGGCTACCCATAGTATCTCCTCAACAATGTTCTAATGAATGTTGCTGCATGTGGGCCTCTGCAGCAGATGCCTGGTTAAAGCATCTATGCTGACTGCAGTTCGTTGGCGACAAATGCTGGAATTGGCATGCCAGTGCTGCAAGTGGATATCCACTGAGTGGTGACAGGTGTCTTTTTCCGATGAATCACATTTTATGCTCCATCAGACTGATGGATATTGGCATATGTGGCATGAAACATCAGAAAGCAAACACCCTACAATGATTGCCAGAAGGGTCTAAGCTGGAGGAGGGAGCAATATGGTCTGGGGAATTTTTCATGGCATTCTTTGGGTGCACTCATCATTGAAGAAGGCCCGATGGATCAACAGAATTACACATCTGTCCTTGCGGACTATGGCTACCCCTACATGCGAATTGTTTTTCCTCGGCATGATAACATCTACCAGCAGGACAATGCAAAGTGTCATACAGCTCCTAATATACGTGCATGGTTTGAAAAGTACCAGGATAAGTTTACCATACTCTCCTGACCAGTAAACTCCCGGGACTTATACCCAATTGAGAATCTACGGGACTACCTCAATTAGGTTGTTCACGCCATGGATCTTCAGCTTCATAAACTAGTGCAGCTGTCCACTGCACTGGAGTCAGCATGGCTCAACATCTCAGTGAACACCTTCAAGAACCTAACTGACTCTCTTCCTGCATGTCTTGCAGCGGTCCACTCTGTAAAAAGTGGTTCTGGCTTTTGATAGGTGGTCACTTTAATGTGACTGTGTATATGCAAGTGCTCAAATAGGTCCATTTGCACACCTCATAAAAGATATTGCCTTGCACTGCATACCTCATGTAACATCGTAACTCATTATTATTCAATTTTCATTTTTATTGATCGTAATTACATTTATAATGCATAAATTTAAATGAATTTTATTGTGTGGCAAAACTGCCATGAAATTGCTTCAAGACAGAGGAGATTTTCTCAAAAAAAGATTTTGTTTGAATGATCACCAAATGAAATAAGGTTTTCTTCAACACTAAAATGGTCCTGCTACTCACCATCATTATAGGAAAAGCAAGGATTGTGAACCCAAATAATATGGTTTGAATGATCCTCTGTTCAATTGATACAATATATGTGATTTTAAGAATCAATATTAGTTGACTTCAGTAAAATTAAGCTTCAAATGAAGCAACACAAATGTGGACTGGAACAGCTTTATGTGTGTTACGTATGTGTTGTTACTTTGATATCTTACCTTAAAATTAAAATCAGTGAAAGCAAGAAAATTGTTTAAATAAAGCCTTTTTACCAAAAGAAAAAACATGTTGACTATGTTTTTCCACTACAATTGGGTTTTTAAAGAATTGTTATGAAATAAATGAGTATTGCATTGAAGCAAAATAAATTTGTATTGGGAATATATATTTATATAATTATATAAAATTATATTTCTTATATTATCAGTTTCATAAATTTTTATTGTGCATATATATTAGATTATATTTCTTATATTAGCAGTTTCATCATTAAGTCATTTCTTATATTAGGTCAAGGATAGATTTCAAGCTGTGTATTTGATTACGATTTGGTTTCTAATGTTACATTTTGAGTAATATTTTTTATGTATTTTGATCAAGTGCTTAAGTTTTATAGATTTATGTATTTGATTCTAGTGTGGTAACTAAATGAATAATTGTATAAAAATATTTAGTTTAAGTTTTGCATCCATAAAAATAAAATGCATAGTATTCTTATGTATAGATGTATGTGTTCATGTATGCATGTGTTATATGTGCATATGTATGTATGTGTACACACATACATTCATATATATGTATACATATATGCATACATACGTTTCTGAATCCTGTCCCAATAATAGAAGGATACCATTAGAATTTTATGTGCTTAAGTAAAAACTGAGAGTCACACTTTTTTTAAAAGGCTTGAAACTATTAAAATCTAGGTTTTGATTTTGAGTTCATGTTGCAATTTAAGTAAATTATTTATTAAGAATATAAAGTTTAGAATTTATTGTGAGTTGTACAGAAAACATAGTTTTAATTTGGAATTGGCTCCCACTTGTGGCATGCAGACCAAGCTAGTATTTTCAGTGCTGAATGATCAGTACTGTTGGTCTCTCATATAAATTTAACATATTAATAATCCTAACCTAGATATACCATTATTTAAGAATAGCTTGTGAGAGTAACTTAATATGCTTTGCAAATCCTGTTGTTACCTATATTTGGAGCCAGTCTAGAATTTAAATATGAGCCTACTGTTCATAGCAAGTATTTTGCGAAGCAAATCTGTAACTAGGTAATAACCCTAAGGGCTTTGGAACCATAAAACTAACTAGATTATTTTTTTTAGGATGCCCATCTAAAATTTATTTTGTGGCACATTTTATTATTGTTAAGTAATACTAGTAAGTTTTAATTCTGTTCTTCACTGGACTGAATTATTCAGATTATGGCAAAGCACATGAGAAAAGGGATAGCTTTATGGAGGAATTGTTTGAGAAAAACTGGGTTGTAGTCATGCTACACATGTGAGAAAACTCCCATGTAGTTCGTCCATTCACCAGGATTTGAATTTGGATTGAGAACCAGTGCGTAGCTATTTTCTATCTCGGTTGCTGAAGGTTTGTATTCTTGAAATAGAATGCATTGAAAAACTGACAATAGAGGCAATAAAGACCTTTTTAGATAGATTTTGTTATATATATACACAACAATTATATTAATAGCATATATATATATGCTATTAATATAATTGTAAATATTAAAGTATTTATATAAATATTAATTATTGAAAAATAATTTGGTTTTGTTGATAATTTTTTGAATTATGTACTTTTGCTTTTGGGGGGGGAGACGAGGGTAATTTCTTATTCCTGATATCGTTTATTATAATAATTAGGGGTTTTCCAAGACTTTATACGTATGATTTTTCCTGAATTTTGAATGAATCTGCAAATTTTGGATTATTTTCTATTATAGTTGTAAAATTATTCCTAAATAATCTTTATATTACTTATTAATTATAATAGATGTGTTATAATTTCCATAAAAATTGACTGAAAAATAATCCAGTTCTCAAGTCCAATTTAGAAGATTCAACTTTGAATTACCCTTAGACTTGCAGAACTTCTAGAATATGAGAAAAAGTCATTTTTATTTACATAAAATTGCCCTTCATTAGTGCCGGATTTACATATAAGCTGCACATTGGGGGCCACCCCCAAAAATTGTACCATATGTCATATAAAAAAATTGACTCGTACCCCTCATAAAAGGCCGCATATCTCAAATAGCTTAGGATCTGGTCAAATCTAGATCCGGTCCTGTCCTTCATTGTCTGTCGGATACTAAGAAACAATTTTGATGTCAAACAATCCCTTTTTTTAATGTGTTACTTGGCAAAGAAATTCCATATGTATAATGTATAAAAACATTGTTCAATTAAATGGCAAACCTGACCTGAATTAATGGTGTTGAATAGTTTTTCAAAATATGATTAGTTTATAAATTTAAATTTCAACTAAAAAATGAATAATGTAAATTTATTTAAGTATTAGTTATGTGCAATTTAGTTATATTTGTGTTATTGCTTCATTTTTTTATCTACATCATTCTTTTCCCTTCCTCCTAAAACTGTAATATAAATCTTTGATTTTGAAGGTGTTAGCATAAATCCCAGGCCACATAAGGTTCGTGAATTATTGTTACTGTCATGACTACCCCCACAAAGTTTACTTTCTTCTGTCCAATAAATTTATTGCTCTAATTTGCAAGTCATAAATAAGCATAGGAGAATAACATTAAAGCAATGACAGTATATTTTAATATCAAAGCAGAAATTTCAGGACTGTTTCAAGTATTTAGTTGTTGAAATTTCTGATGGCATATTTTTAAAGATTTAGACTTTACTTTTTATAAAGTATGCATGGTTTATGCAAAATATGTTAACACTGAATATGCTTTTAGTATTTGCTATAATTAATGGTGTGAATAAAGTTTTTAGACAGTTGACACACACTGAATTCATTAAAATGCGTGAATTTTATTTTTGAGTTAGTATTCTTTATATAAATATATTGTGATTTTCTTTTCAGTGACTCAAAGAGCAAATCATGCTAAGGAAATGATAGAAGATATTGATATTCATAAATTTGATGGGTATGAAATTTATGTTCTGTATTTCTTGTTGTAGTATTATTTTAGTATATGTTAACTGAAAACTAAACTTTTCACAAGAAATATTTTTTTATACAGACCTTTTTTATTGTTATTTTATCTGTAATTTTTTCTTTTTTTCCCCAATACGCAAAATATTTTTTCACCTCTTTTTAGAATTTATTTTAATACAAGTGTTAACTTCTATATATATATATGCATAAAGTAAAAGCAAATGTATATGAAATTTCTTAAATTTAAACATATAATTGTTAGCAGATGCAGCAAACAATTGAAATCTGAATAAAACAAAGCAAATATTGAATATTTTTTTAAAATACTCATTAACCCAGGAAGACACGCGTGGGATGTATCAGCACCCCACGTTCAAACAAATTCGCTGGCATCTCCCCCTATAATCCGAAATGCTTAGGTCCATCAGTAGCTGCCTTCAAGGTCATGTTCTATACATCTGTAGAGGAAACGGCAAATTCCGACCATTTATTCTTGTTTAAATAATAGTTTCAGGGTGTGCCGACACCCCACGTGCACTTTCGTGTTACTATTTTTCAGTGTGAGCCATGGCGTGTGCAAGTCTCTCTGTTCGGTCTTTTCCTCATTTAACGTATGATCAAGAAACAAGGACTTCAAAATATTAGAGGGTTGTTTCGTCTGACGATTGATAGAAGAAGAATTAGAAATTCAGAAAATAAAGATATTATTTAGTGATCATGAGTCTGAATCAGAAAGAGTGCGACTCTTCAGAAGACATCCTTGGGCTCAAAGGACATTTTATAGGAAAGGATAAAAATTAGCTCCAATAAGAAATTTATTTGAAAATTTTGTCAAGAATTGACAGAAATTATATCATGTAGGAGAATATGTGACTTTGTACGAAAAGCTAGAACCTTTTCGGGGACGATGCTCCTTTCGGCAGTATATACCTAAGAACCCTGCAAGATATGGTATAAAGATATTTGCTGTGGTTGATTCTAGAACCTTCTATGCTTTTCATGTCAGCAGGCAGAAGGGCCATACAAGATAGTTAGCAGTTCTAGTGAAACAGCAAAGCGTATCCTAGCTCCATATACAAACGGGAAGAAACTTTACACAAACAATTGGTATACCGTTATGATTGGCCATTTCTACAAAAAATATTGATGAACCATAAAAAGGGGAAAAATACAATACAGGAGATTTACATTGCTGAGGAAAAAAGAGAGAAAATCAAAAATGTATGAAGTGTAAAAAAATGTCAAAGAGCCACTGTGAAACAGTGATGCTTAATGTATATAGTACAGATATCTATGCTTTTGGCCGAATTGATTTCAATATTAATAATATAACTTGTTGTTCATGAATATTGCATAATTTGGATTATAAGTGCATTCACAAATAAAAAACAAATATTTCTCTTAGAAATCAATGAATCCTAGACATCTGGAAAAAAATTATCTATTTGTTATTAATTTTAAAATTAGCATTATTTTAAGTTATTTTATGTAATAAATGTTGTAATTAATAAAGAATGCATTCTTTTACTGAATTGTAATAATATGTTTAATGTGTATGTCATTTAATTGCTTGGGGTGTGTTGACACCCCCCCACGCGCGTCCTCCCGGGTTAAAAAACAAAGAGAAAACAACTCAGTAAACACAATTCAGAAAGTTTATATAATTTAAAACTTTATGCATAAACCAAAAAATATTTATAACTAAAGTTTAAATGATAAAATAAAGACAAATGCAAAAAGCTACTAAAAAGGTTGAACTTATTACCTAAAAGGAACTGGGAAATTGAACAGTATTACCACATTGTTTTTCCATTTTGATTCCTTAATGATTGTTCTGAAAAAGTTCCTTATTTACTTTGTTTATTTATGTAATGTATAGTATTATGTATGTAATACATATAAAGAGATACAATTATGTGTAAATGATTCTTGTCTACTATAAAGGCTGTCAGTATTAAAACTTTTTCTTTCATTTGTTAATTCTCATATTTTCCCCCCTTTCAGGATAATATGTGTTGGTGGAGACGGAATGTTTAGTGAAATTTTAAACAGTGTTGTACTCAAGACTCAGAAAGACAAAGGAATAGACGTTAATGATATTTATAATAATCTAATGGTTCCTAGGATTCCACTTGGAATAATTCCTGCTGGATCTACAAATGCTGCTGTTAACTGCATCACAGGATCTTGTGATCCAATTTCAGCCACTCTTCTCATTGTGATGGGTATATATATATATGTATATTACGTATATTTTTCTGTGTTTTAATTAAAAACTTGCCTTCATTTTATATTTTACAAATAAAGGTGTTTTCAACCGTATCAATTAGCAATAATTATCATCCTGCATTTCTTTCTGTAAGACAGCCCATTAATTTCAACTCTTCCACTTCTGAACATTATAACCAAGATTTAACTATGCTTGAGTTAGAGCATTTTATCAGAGACAAGGAGATCATGTCATGGTCCTGACAGTTTTAGTTTTTGCATGCTAAAACACCTACTCTGTAAGTCTTCAGCAGCTCTTTTTTTTCTTTTCAATAGAGTATGGAAAGAGCTTGTGTTTCCTAATGCATGGAGAAAGGCTTTTATTATTCCAGTATCGAAACCAGGAAAGGACCCAAAGAATCTCTATAGTTACCTTCCCATCGCTTTGATTAGTTGTGTTTTCAAATTGTTTGAAAAGGTAGTCAGCACTTCCTGGGTCTAGTCTGTAGAGTTGACTAATTGTATTTTCCCTTATCAAAGTGGATTTAGAAAATGACAGGCAACTGCTGATTATAATCTGCTTTTGGAAACTGGTATATGCAAATAGGAATAATTTTATCTCTGTATTTTTTGATAAAGCCTATACCATAGCTTGGAGGTATGGACGAAGCTTTGCAATCTGTGTAATAGTGGCTTTTGAAGTAAGCTGTCGATTTTCATAAAACATTTCTTATAGGATTAAGAGTTTCAGGTAAAGGTTGGTTCAGTACCCTCTGATGTATTTAGTCAAGAAGAAAGTATTCTTCAAGGTTGCGTACTAATGTTACTCTGTTTATAAAAATTAACTCAGGTGTAAAAGAAGTTCTTCCAACAGTCTATGAAATGTTGTATGTTGGCGAACTGCAAGTTAGTTGTCAAAATGCAGATATGTGATACATTGAGAGACAATTACAAATATCTTTTGACAGAATAATAAAATGGTAACAGTAGAATGATTTCAAGTTTTCCCATCAGAAATGTGTGTGCTTGCACTTCTGCTGCAAGAAGATCCCTCCTAAACCCAAACTTTATTTTTTATTTGTAGGACATATTGATTCTTGTTAAAAAAGAGGATGTAAAATTTCCAGATGTATTTTGAACATAAGCTTATTTCTCTTCTCTCCGTCTTATCTATCTAAAAAAGAATATTTAAAATTATGAATATTTTGTCTTGTCGAATATCTCCTAGGGTGCTTATAGCAACTCAATGCTTTATTTATACAACTATTTCAATCAAATCTGTTATCTGTTTAAAACTTGACTATAGATTAGTTATTTATGGATCTCTTGTGTTGGTAAAACTTATCCTGAACATCACCAGGTGATTCGTATCTGCACAGTTTTTGATTGCACTCAACTTACCTAGTATTTACATCTGAACTGACTGCTGTCTAACAGGCTTCAATTTTCCTCTCCAAAGAATGCTGAAAATATATGTATTATCTACACAGATTCTCATAGTGCATTAAAGTTGTTGAAAGGTTTTTCTTATAGCTTGCATCCCATAATCACTAGAAATCTGAAGCTCGGTCAGACTCTAAAATGTTGGAGATATCAGATTCTTTACCCTTGGACTCCTTGGTATGATAGGAAGGAATGAATAGCAGATAGTACAGCTAAGTCTACTACTGAAATATCCACTCTTCTTGTCCCACTTGTATATATCAGGTCATTAATTAGGCATGAAATTCTCAATAAATGAGATACTTTGGGATGCTCAAGTAAATAATAAACTAAGAAGTGTTAAACCCATTATAGAGTACTGGCCATCTATACTAATAGAAGGGAGGAAGTTCTCTTAACTTGACTGTGAATTTATCACTGTTGACTGACGAGCATCTTCTAAAATCCAAGAAAGGACAACTTTGTATAAAATGTAATGAAATTCTGACAATTCATCATATTTTACTTGAATATCAGTCTTAAATATTTTCACCTAAAATGTTTTAATTGTTTTAATTTTGATTTAGGGAACTTAATCTATTGTAATCTCTTTTATTATAGCTAAACTGTATTGCAACTGCATACATGCAGTGTTTTAATATTCATTTTAATCTGTGTGTTTTTAGTTGCTTTTATGGTTTTTACCTAATTATTTGTGTTTCTTTTTCACGGTTCTTTTTGATTCAATTTTAAGTTTATTTTATTGATCTGTGATGTAGTCTAGTGAATTAATTAATTTTCACTTAGTCTCTATTTTATACATTTCTGCATAGATTATTTTATCAATTGGTTTTAGATTCTATATTACTTTATGGATCATTGGGTTTCTGGCAGTCATTGATTTTAATTGTATTTCTTCAAACACTGGTTTGTGTAAATAATCTTATTAGGTTTTAGTGGGGAAACTGCTATACAATCAATCAGCTGACAACCATAAACTTAAAAGAAGGGAAAGATTTCAGCAATACTTAATCAATAATACTTACCAGCAATATTTAACCAAATCAGTTATACCAATAATCAGCCAAGAGTAATTTTTGTTACACTCATAACTCTGTGATAGAGGGTAGAAGTCAAATACAGAAAATCTATATTAAATCCACTTGGCATCTGTACAGTTCTTCAGAAAACCATGGCCATAGGCATAACGTTTCTCCAATTTCAACAAACCACCAAGTTCCTAGGGTTTTTAAAGATGCTGTAATTCTCCCTTTAAACTCAGTTTTAAAATATGCACTGTGAGATTTGTCATTAGTGGAAGAAATTGCAGAAAAATTTCTGTAGGAATATTAAAAAGCCATTTAAGACAACAATTGCTTTGAATCAGAACAAAAGAAACAAACTCCCTTGTAATGAGGTTTAGTGGCTGGTTTTTGAAATAATTAAAATGTAAATTATGTATGTAATATTGAATATGAATTTATGAGGTAAATTTTTATAGTTATAAGTAATTCTTTTATTCTGTAAAAAATCACCAAGCTGTGCCACAGATAGTTGTGCCTAATGTGTAAGTAACCAAAATGTGATATGCACATTTAATGATTTTCCACCAGTTCATTTTTTCACAGCTTTATTTTAACAGCTGATTTGGGTTCGTCAAGTGGCTCATCATCATCATCAGTTAAAATGCCTTTTTCGTTATAGAACTAAATGATATTTTAAACATTTTTTCCAACTTTAATTGGAAATCTTCCAACATCAGTTTTAATATCAGTTAATAAAACTTTTTCCAAATCTCTGATAATTCCTTTTGGAGAAATGTTCTGCTGCTTAAGCTTGCTGATCAGCCATATGAACATAGGAAGGTGACCTGTCTAAACTATTTGATGAATTCATTAGCATTTGTTTAGTACCCCCATATCTGCTTTTTAAATAAGCATCATGTCACTTATCCATTGTTTAAAGATTTTGAGGAAAAAATTTCCTTATGTTTCAATATACAAATGAAGTTTTATTAGGTATATTATAGTTGAAATCCTACTTTTCATATATACCTAGTTCTATTTTTTTATGCATCTGCATGCTTATTTCATATCAGTATAACTAAATAAGTGGACAGTTAATAGTATAGTATAGTGGAATCATGCTTATTTTCAGTTTAAAGGAAAATGAACTTTGCATAAATTTGATGATCATAAATATGTTGGTAAGGTTATCAAGAGTTCAGAGAGTATTTGGCTTTATCTTTTATTTCCTTACTCATACTTCTTTTCAGACTTTCAAACTTTTGTTATTTGTTAAAAAGCTCAATTCTGTATAATTTTAAATAATAAAAAATAATACGTATTACTTTTCATTTTTGTAAAATCACTTATTAAATTCTTGTGAAATTTTAGTCTCATATAAACATTTTGTTTTAGGTGATTATACTGGTGTTGATATATGTGGAGTATATAGTGCAGGACGTTTTCTGAGGTTTGCTGTAACATTTCTGTCGTATGGATATTTTGGTGACGTTATTCGTGATAGCGAAAAGCTTCGGTGGATGGGACCTAAACGATATGATTTTTCCGGTATGTAATTTTTCCAAATATCGTAAATGCTGTTTTATCCTGAGGACAACTTTTGTTCAAGTATAAATTATATTTTCGGTGTCGCTAAACATTTTTGTTGGTTTTAAGATAATTTTCATATTGCTTAAAGTACAATGAATAAAACACATATTTCTTATTGGATATTTTTTTAGTTTAGAGAAATACCAAATCATTTTCCTGTATTGATTGAAACCCCCCTCTTTTTTTAAACCAAGAAAGACGATTGCAATTACTTTTCTGTAATGAAGCACTTTTTTTCTACGTCTCTCTGAAACAAACTAGTTTATGTACCTTATGTTTCATTTCGCTTGCATGCTTTGAATAAGAAGGTTTTATTGTTAGTTTTATCCTTGATCCTAAGATTGGTTCTGTTTGAATAAACCATCTCCATACTTGCATGCACACACATACTCAAATAAAATGAATAAACCATCTCCATACTTGCATGCACACACATACTCAAATAAAAAAAAAAAGTTAATTTTTTTTAAAACCAAACATTCCTTTATGGATTGGAAATCTCTATGCTATTAGGTGTTTTTGCATCGTGAAAGATTTTATGTATATAGAATTGTATTGTTGATCATGTAGTGTTATTTCTTAGTATTACACTGATGGGGAAAATTAAAAGTACAGTTATAAAAAAGTGGTTAGTAGCTCAAGGATATTATTATCATGTAATTCATTGGATAGTCATTGGGATTCTCATTTGCTGCATAAAAGTATGTAGATTTTTGCACCATTCTTTCAGAACATGGGAAGAATTGTACTAGCTGCAGGGTAACATTTTTGCTCGTGGAAGGTGGAACATGATGATTGGACATTTGACAGATAGTGGGAAACTGTGTTCAATTGAAAGAATGGAAGCTGTTCAGATACTGACACACAGCTTTAGAAATCCAAAAGTAACTAAGTATTGTAAGTCTAGAAATGGTTTAAAGACATTGTTGATGTATACAGACAACTAGGTGAGGGTCTGTATATTCACAGAATCGGAGAACCGTTATTTGTCAAAGATTATCCAAAGAACTACACAACTGACAAAAAATTGCAAGAAAGTTCACTGCAGCTTTAGAAACTCAACTATTCGTGTATACCATGAGTGACAGGAGGCATAAAAGAAGGCTGCACACAAGGAAGCCTATGATTTGTGTTTCGCTAACCTGGGCTGCAAAATGCATTGCGATAGTATTGGGATTGAAATACCACTGACTGGGGCCAAGTTTTCATGACTAAAGCCTTGTTTTTGCTTCGAGATTGATTAAAGATGCCTTACAATCCAGAGGGAGAAAAATAAATGCAATTGAAAGCATCTGTGAAAGTCATAGGTATATAGGTGTTGGAATCTTGATAAAGAGCATCATTTTGAATGGCTGCCCTGATCCGTGAACCTGAGACTAGGTTCTTTATCCTTACATTAAGTTCTGTAGAACTGCAGTTGGTAATAACTTTCTCTTTATGGGCGATAATTCACATCTGTTGCATTGCACTAAAAGGGGGATCATCTTGAGGGCAAAAGAATTCAGTACATGGAGTGATCCCCACATATTTTCCATATTTAAAATTGAAAGAACATGTATGATATTCACTAGAGTGGTGACTTGCATTCAGCCTTGGTGACTGCAGCCTCCACCTTGCACTTTTAGGAGCTTCAAGGTGCTGTTTATCATTAATATGCTCTATTTACTACAAAAACTCCAACACAGGCTAATACAGAGCATAGAAAATTGCTTTAAAGTTTGTACTTCGATCGGGCGACCATTCATGTCATTAATTTTTAAAAAGTGTTACATTAACATTTTTATTCTCCTTTATATCATTTCCTATGTTCTTATTTAAATTTATTTTTTGCAGAAATAAACAAATCTGCATTTAAAGTGAGGTAACGTTATAGTAAAGTGACTGTGTCCAACCTAATGCAAAATGACAGCAGCACTCCTAATGGCAAAATTTGGAAGATAGGCATTGAAAATGAAAAGAGAGCAGAATTTCCAATTAGAAAGTTTTAGAGCATCAATTAATTAGTACAAATCTACATTTGGTTCACACATATAAGATAAATTGTCGCCTGTATACCCAAAGATGTCCACAATTGATGCATGATGATTCTACTCTGCATGTTCATATTTCAGAAATATAGTAGTGTGAAGTTGCAGATTGTGATGCTGTACTGTACTGTAACATCTGAAAAATTTTAATTTCCAATGCATTTAAAATTTTAGTGTAAAAAGTGTTGGCCCTCACTTCATACAAACAGCATAATCTTGGACCTCATTAGAATCTCGATGGCAGACAATAATATTAACTTGCTATCACTGTATGACAGTTTGCTTTTGCAGTTTTTTATTATTTTTTTATTGTATGGGGGGGGCAGATTTCATCAAACTGTATAATAATTTTAAAAGGAGGATATCTTTAGAATTTCCGAAACACAGTCTCGCACGCTGCAGATAAAAATTTTTTCTGTACAACGTTTCCATTGCTCACTTTGATATCCTTAAGTTTGTTGATCAAAAATTCATTAAAGTTTTACAAAATATGAAACTGACAATAAAACAAATTTCAAATTTGGGTTTTCAGATGCCCATATTCTCAGGAGGATTATGTTATTCAAAATTTTATGGCTTTAGGTACTGTTGTTCTATCACAATGCAAGAAACCTACATACATTTATGCAGATTCTTCATTATTTAATTTCTTTAAATATAAGACAGGGTGATAATATTTGGTGGCAACATTTTGAAAAGTAAAACAATGCTTGTAGTGAAGTAACACAAAATGCCGAAACGAAATTAATAGTAGTTCTGAGCAAATTGCCCTTTGGACTGAAAAGGATGAAAAAAACCTTTTCAAAATTTAAACTGAGGAAAGGTGAAGTTCAGAGTTTCTCAAGTTAAGACTTGCTAGCTTTCAGATAGTGTAACAAAAAGAATATAAGAAAAAGGCATAACATACAGATAAGGAAATAAATTGTATAACTGAATGCAGTACAGGAATTTGAGGCCTTGATTAGCATGATCAACTGTTGATATGTTTTCTGGTTATAAAAAATAGGTGAAAGGATACATAAAAATTTGAGTATTTTTTATAATCTTCAGTCTTACTGAAAAGTGGTAATAAGTGAATGACAAAATTATTTTTGTGGCAACCCAATGCATTTTACAAGCATCTTTGAGTACATGGGGATTTGGACTTTTGAAATTTAACAACCATTTTTCTAATTTCTATTTCTTTTTGCATTGGGTATATTTATTTTTGTTGTTATGAAATTTAATAGAATTGTGGAGCTTCCTTCTTTTATTTTCATTACGTTGAAGTTTTTTATTGGAGTGTATGTTAATGTTTCAACTGTTTGTATGATAATGATTATGACCAATGCACAATGCTGAGGCTGTGCAAGATGCCGAGTTTGCGCAATTCTGCGATTTTTTTAATCAGAAGTATATCGCTTTGTATATGGAGAGAACAACAACAGTGAAAAAAAAATGAAGGGATTTCTCAAAAAAAGGTAAATGTCTTTAATGAATATTAAAAGAAAAAGTCAGCAGTAGAAGCATTGTCGAAATAGAAGTAATGATACATAAACAGATATTTCTGTCCAAAGACAGCAATAGGATTGGATGTTTGGTTTGGATGATCAGAAAATACCCAAATTGATTTTATACGTTTCACATTATACTCTATAATTTTGTATGTGTCACATAACAAAATCAATACAAAAAGTTATGCTACCAGCTTGTGGACATCCTTTGTATAGTGATATAGTAACTAACTTGAAGGATAAAAATTGTGGACATTTCCCTAAATGTATTAATTACTACAACTAAGAAGAAAAACCTTCTTAGTTGAAGAAGAAGAGCAAGCTCTTCATTTTTTACGAAGGAATCCTTCTTGCCAAAAACTACTATGTTTGCTGCAAGACTAAATTAAAAGTGAAACTTTCTAGCAGTGTAAACAATGCAAGATATTTTTATACTTTCCAAAATGTTTTAAAAATACATGTTCTTGAAAATTTTTAGCTATACTTAATTTAAAATTTTTCTTCTTATACCTGTCAAAATATTTTTAAAATACATGGTCTTAATTATTAGTTATACTTAATTAAAAAAAATTTTCATCATTTTGATATTTTACAATGAATTATGCTTTTAATTTACAAAATATATGAACCATAAAGTAAAATATTTTCTGTATAATGGCTTATATAATGCAGTGATATGTACATAAAATTAAAAATGATCAGAAAAGTCAGATAAATCAGAAATGTAAAGACTACTTGAGTGTTCTAACATTAGGCTTATAATGATTATAAAAATTTTAATGTTTTATTGCAATTAATGCAATAGCTCTTAGCTGTTCATTGGTGTGGTTACATTTTTGGCACTTGTGTAATTAACACAGCCACCTTGGTGCAATTTGGCAATTTTTACAAATAAAAAGGTAAAAGTTACTTATTGCACCCAATAAGTAACTTTTACCTTTTTAAGTTAAAGTTAGTAGTTTTCTAGTAGCAAGTTAGTGGTTTTCTTGCCCCCTCCACCCTTTTTTCAGAAAGATTCCCAAACTATTGATGTTTATCATAAATCTTTAAACTTTATCAACATATAAAAAGAAAACACTTTAGCAATTTAAAATACAAATTGAATTATTAAATAAGGCTTACATGATACATTAAGAAAATAAAACACATACGTTCTTCTTCAAATTTTTCTGCAATTTTTTTACACTATTCTTCTCCTGAAGTAAACTGTGATCTGTTTTCACTTGAAAAAAAAAATCTGAGATTTACAGACACTCAGCTTTGTGCAAACCTCAGTCACACCGGCTATCTCCTCATTGTTTCCTTTAGAAAATTTTCAGCAAAATTTTGTATTCCTATTTGTATCTAGGAAATGCAGTTTTTTCCATTGCTTGTAAATTCCACAAACTCGTATTTTAAAACTAAGTTTAAGGCAAAACATATCATGATTTGTTTGTAAGTGTTGGAACATGGAACACAGCAAAAAAGAATGCATACAAAAATGGTAGGATTGGTTATTATGAGCATGGTTTTACCAGAATAGTGGTTATATACATGGTTACCAGAGTTTGGCACATTCTGAAAATTTTGCAACTTCTACCAAAGGTGGTTGCATTAATACATAAGTATCACTTGTTTAAATTTCTTTAAGTACAAACACATATTTACAAATAAACAACTTACTGATAAACTGCACCAATGGAAAGGTTAATATTTCAAAGCCACTGATCTGTGCATTGGAATATTTCTTTATCTACACTGTTCTTCAAACATAAAAAATAATTTTTTGTCTCTTCTTTTTAAAGGTCTGAAAAAAATTTTATGTAGGAAATTATATGAAGGAGAATTGCAGCTTGAAGTAGATCTTCCTACGAATCATTCAGTGTGGTTGAAAGAACGCTGTTGTGTTAAGTATGTCCTTGTTTTGTTTTGTGTATAACACTAATATTTGATTCAAATATTAAATGCATTTTTATTTTATCAATCAAGATAATTTGAACACTAATATTTTTGCATTGTTTTCTTTATATTATGAAAATGTGTTAGATTTTCACCATTTAATAATGTTGAACAAGATTAATGGCATTCTTTTAAGCAATTTGGAAAAAAAAAATTATTTCTTTATAGTCTTATTCAGATTTAATTGATTTGACAGTAAGTACATTTGTATCAAATTTTCCCAGTACTAAATGCTTTCAGAAATTTCAAAATATTTTTTCAAATTTCAGTTGTGAAACTTGCTCAAAGGCAACAGAATTACCAAATGAAGAAGTTCGAAGTCCAACGAAAAAAATAAGTATGAATCAAATTTATTTTCATAAGTTTTTTTTTTTTTTTTTTTTTTTGTCTTGAAGAGCAAAGACTGACTTCATAATAGTTAATGTAAAATGTCTCTGATTCTTACTTAATCCATCTAATCTTTCTCCTTAGAATGGTTATCTGTTCGTGGAAGTTTTATTGCAATTAATGCAGCAGTTCTGAGTTGTGCTTGTTATAAGTCAACAAAGGGAATATCTCCTTCTCAACATTTGGGTAATGGCTATTGTGATGTCATTATTGTATCATCCTGTTCACGCTTTAATTATCTGAGGTATCTACTGCGAACATCGTACCATCATAAAAGTCCTGTAAGTACCCATTTCTGTATTGAAATATGGTGTTGTTTTGCATATTTATTTCCTTACTTTTTAATTGTTTATAATGTATTCATTTTGATTTCAGTTTGACTTAAATTTTGTGCAAGCATACAGAGTTAGAGAGTTCAGATTTAATCCCTTAATAACTGATGACAAAACACCAGCTGCTGGTTGTGCTGGTCTTGAAGGAAACTGGCAAGAATTAAGCACTAGTGTTTGGAATTGTGATGGAGAAGTTGTGAATGAGCCTTCTGTTACTGCAAGGTATATGATTTAGATTAAATCACTGTAATACATAATAGATATTTAAAACCATATTGATGTAATTTAACAAATGATAAAATATATTTTTTGTTTACTGAATAATTTCAAATGAGAGAAAGCTGAGTACATTTTAAAAAGATAATAGTCTGTTCTTTATCAGATGCAAATTAAATTGTTCAATAATGTTTTCATCAGAAAAAAGATTATTATTGATCAGAAATCAATAATAATCACTATGGACATCTTGAACTTCTGATTTTTGTACTTATTTTTGAGAGATATAAGCTCTCATTTTGCATACATATTTTAAGATACTCTGTAGTTATGCAGAATTTGGGTAAATTTAGCAAGTTCAAAAGTTTTGCATTTCCTTTCTAAGCAAAACTATCTGTTGATCTTTGAAGCAAGAAGAATGCCAGATCTCAAAAGTGATTTCCATTGTACATGCTCTTTATACTACAGGATTTCTCAGACCTTTTTAAAAACTTTGCATGTGAATGCCATATTCAGTGGTTTTGGAAGTGTTTAGTGGGCAAAGTAAGTTATCTTGCACACTATATGTGAATTAATGCTTCTTGAATGTTATTGATTTAAAAGAACTTAATTTTGTAAATAAAATATTTTATCATTTTGTTAAAATCTTGTTTAATTAAATATTGATTGGTAATATCACTATCAAAACCATATTAATATTGACTTATTATTTTAGTCAATATTAAACCATATTGACTAAAATTGAAAATGTAAGGAAGCATACTAAACCAAAAGTGTACAGTGAAACATTTTTGTAAAATTTCATAAATAAAATTATCGTATACCACTTTTTTAATTTTTGCATTTTGGTGTCATTTAAAAAATTGCTTTATTTTTTGCTTGCTGCATTATATTTTGTTTAATATTTAAAGATGGCTTGTAGTTGTAAGGAAACAACAAGCACCATTCAAAAATTGATCATTTCTTTAATATAAGGATAGAAATTTAATTTGGGATATCAGTAAATTAGTAAATTTATCCCATTCTACAGTGCAGTATGTGATAAAATGCTTTAAAGAAGAAAATTGGATCCAAAATAAAGTAAGAAGAGATTGTCCGACTCGATGTGACTTGATGTGATCAGAGATTTATAGTTAGAAAGTCTATGTATGAGTGTTTTAAAGATTTCTACAAGATTTACTGAAAATTTTTTACTTTAGTTTCACTTAACTGTTTGACGAATACTCAGATGAGCTGGATTACATGGGCGCTCTGCTCGAAGAAAATTTTTTAGAAGTGCAAAAATAGAAAGCTTAGGCTTTTCTTCTCAAAATCAATGGTAAATAAGTCTGAAGCATATTAGAACCATGTCTTATTTTCAAATGAAAACAAATTAAGCATTTTTGATTCCAATAGGAATATCATTATGTGGGGGGAAAAAAGTGAGGAGCTTAATCCTAAGACCTTGGTTAGTACAGTAAAGCATGCTGGTGGGGGTGTTCGTGTGTGAGAGTGCATGTCAGCATCAGGATTAAATAATTTAATACTTATTGATAGGGCAATGAGCCATGCTCTTTATTTGAATACTTATCCAAAATTATCCATCAAAATTTGGATAATGGAAACAACTTTATTTTTTAATACGATAATGATTCTAAGCACTTGGCCCTCAATGTTCATCTTTTGAGTGTGTATAATTGTCCACAAGTTCTGAAAACACCACCTCAGTCACCAGATTTAAACCCAACAGAACACATCTGGAGAAAATTAGAGGTTAGAGTATGAAGACGCATCATTAAAACAAAAAAGAAACTAAAAACAGTAATGATGGAAGAATGGAGGAACATTGATGCAGATATTACAAAAAATACTGGTGAATTCTATGCCCTGACATTTAAAAGCTGTTAAATACTGCAAAATACTAACTGACAAATACAGAACTACTACAATATTTACTAATATATGTAGATTTCTTTTAAAGTGTACAGAGACTTTAGTGAAGTAACTTTTCTGTTACTTTTTTATTATTAAGTTTCCAAAACAATGAAACAAAAAAAAGTTTTAATATGTTTATAAAATGATTAATGTAGTTTTGCTAAGAGAAATTTATAGGTATATTAAAAAATTTTTATTCTAAAATATTAATTTTTATTAATCATAAAGCTACTTCACTGAAACTCCTAAGTGTACGAACACTTTTGTGAGCCATTGTAATTATTGCTGCTTTGAGATTTGATACTATGAGCAATTTCTGATACATACAAGAAGAGAAGACTTAACAGAACTACCATTGTCATCTAAATTTTAGATAATGCTTTTGGAATTGAGAGTTAATATCTTACGTATATGAGTTTTTTTTTTATATGGAAGTCCTCTAATTTTAATCCCCAAAATTTGTTTAGGGATATTCCAAGTCACTCGTATGCTGTTTCAACTATTAAATTTTGGAGGTTTTTAAATTATCTCTAATCCTGTTTGATATACATCTTCAATAAGAGATTGAAGTTGATGATGCACACTCTAGCCCGCTTTGGAAAATCTGTATGGAGTTTCAAAATGCATATTGAATTTTTTGTTAAAAACAATTTTTGAAAGTTTAGGTTAAAACTAAAAATTGTGAAATGCTGTTTTATTTATTTCAACTTAGTTATAGAAAATATTTTTTTTTTTTTTTTTTTTTTTTTGTTATCTCTGTTATGTTATAGATGCAGTTGTAACTGTATTTAAAATGATTTGGAATGAGATCGCCCTTCAAAACATGACAAGGAAGTTTCTTTACCATTAAAAGAATAATGAATTTTTTTTGTATCATTTTCAGGGTTCATTGTCAGTTGATAAATGTGTTTGGAAGAGGTTTTGAAGACAGAAAAGAACAGTCTTTATTAACAAATTGTTTTAAATTTTTAAGAAAATAATGTAAGGAAATTGCACGAGATTATTATTAAAATTTTAAATGCTTATTTATAGAATTAATGAATAAAATATATTTTTGTTCCTTTAATGTATAACAAGTAATGAGGTATTATGATAAATCATTCCATTTCTAAAGTGATATCTAAATGTATACAAAACTTCCCATACTGTCCTGTTTTAATGTTATTCTGTGATTAATAATCGCATGGTTCTAGAACTAACAAAATATTGTTTAATATTTAAGTAACATAAATTAAATATTTATATAGTTTTAGGAAAATGATATATAATGTATATGTCATCATGTCCACTTGGTGATTATTTAAATTTAAAATAAATTTGAAAGAATTATTCAAATGCTGTATTAATCAGAAAGATTTCAGAAAATTTTCTAATTAAAACATCAAAAGAAAATAAATGCATAGATAAAATAAAAGTGCAGACATAATTTTAATTTTTCTATTGACAAGCTTTGCTTCAGATGTGGTAAGCAGAGGACTGATATTTATTTTATTGAAATTCTAAAATTTCATTCTAAAATTAATTGTAACTTCTATTGATATAAAATTTGTAATACATTATGAATTAATTTTCTTACTTGAAAAGATATTTTTTGTATGTTAATATTGAAGATAACTAGTTGCTGTTGTAAATTCTAGCAGATTTTCTTCAAGTATTTATAATTTATACTTTTTAAAATGTTGCATAGCATGGCACTTTTTATATTTATTTTATTTATTGTATATGTAATTTATTTCAGAGCTTTGTAGTGCAGTTAGCTTGTTAACCTGTAAATATTTGTATATATATTTGTACAGATTATACTTTTGTGATATGAAACATTTTTGTTATGTATTTTACAAATAAATATTACTAGTATTGTTACATATAATCAACATAGAGTTGTTCTATTTTTAATTTAATCTACCAGATCCAAATATCAGGATTAGGAAAAAATAGAATTTTTATTTCTATACCTATGCTATTTCCCTCTCTCTCTCTCTTTTTTTTTTTTTTTTTTTTTGGGGGGGGGGGTAATCAGGAGGGAAAAAAACTGCAACTTTCCCTGGACTAAATAGTAATTATGAGAAAGTATGTGGATTATGGCCAGATCAATCCAGAGATCATTATATATTGCAGCTCCTTGAATATTTATGTACATAGAAACTTGCTTATACATTTAAATGTGTGCAATCACTTGGTAATCTATAACTGATGTATCATTGTATACTGCCTTTTGTATAAAAGAACAGAATGAATTTATAACTGCATATTATAGATGACACTTGTATGTCATTTAGCATGCCCTAATAAAAATGCTCACATTTTTACAGTGCTGATGCAATCGGATCAGGCAGCAGAATATAGGGAAGACAAAAATTTTTTGACTTTAGAGAAGTAACAGCCTGCAAAATTTAAGAACAGCAAAATTTTTAGGAGGGTGGATTTTTAGGGAAGTGCAGGGCAGTAGAAATTAGGACTCGCAGAGATTGCACCAGGTAGCAAAACATCTAGCGCTGGCCTTGCATTTTTATGAAGGTTATTCTGTGTGCACCCAAGTCGTAAAATTTCTCTCAGTCTAGGCATGAAGATACGATTGCCTTTATGAAGGTCAGCTTTTAACTTGAAAACAAAATGTTCGCTGATGAGTGAAAACATTAAGACCATCCCTACATTTTTTAATGAACTCTTCTGGATGACGTTGAGAGCACTTGGATTAAGTAGGAATAGTATGTAACTGCTGTTGGAAAAGGTAGGGAATCATTCATGCAATTACTTAAGTCATAGAAAAGACTGCTGATCTAAGTGAATTTGATAGAGGGCAGATTCGAACAACTATCTCCGAAACTGCCTGATTGGATAGGTTGTTCACGATCTGCTATTGTTAGTATCTATGCAGATTGGTTAAATGACTGTGAAACCAGCAGGAGACACCAAGGTTTTGGACGTCCATGCTTCATAAAAAAAAAAGGATGGTGGAAACTGTCTCACTTAGTACAGCAAAACCAGCATCAAATAGTGACTCACCTGAGAGCCCAATGCAGGTCAAGTACAAGTGTTTTGGAACATAAAGTTCAGCGGACACTATTGGATATGAGATTGCGCAGCAGACGTCCCACTCGTGTGTCTCTGTTGACCAAATGTCAAGTGTGAAGTCAATTGCACCAACAGTGGGTCTAGTAACATTTGAGACCAGACAGTGGATAAGTGAAAGACATGTGCCTTGTCGGGTGAATCACGATTTCTCATTCATCGCATCAACGATCGTGTCAGGGTATGCCTTCTGGGCAAAACAGTTGTTCCCTCCTGTACAGCAGATTATACCAAGGCTGGTGATGGCGGTATTATTCTTTGGGGGATGTTCTCATGGTCAGTTCTGGGACCCTTAGTTGTGGTAGAACAGACCATGAAAGCTGTGGACTATCTGAATACTACTGTGGGTCATTTGCATCCTTACATGGCATCTATCTTCCCAACTGGAAATGGAATCTTCCAGCAATACAGTGCTCCATGTCACAAGGCTCAAATTGTTTTGGAGTAGTTCGAGGAGCATAAGGATGAATTTTAATTAAAATGTCCTGGCCATCTGTTTCGTTGTGTCTTAATCCGATAAAGCACGTTTAGAATCTCATGGAGTGGCAGCTCAGAGCTCCAAACACCATGTCGGAATATCTCGACTTTACATGACTGATGCTTAGACGTGTGGTATAGCCTGTCTCTAGCCTTCTACCAAGAACTTGTGGCATCCATGCTAAGGGCAATTTGTGGCTGTTTTGCAGGCCAAAGTTCATGCAATGCGCTATTGAGTAGGTGATCATAATGTTTTGGCTCTTCAGTGTATATTGTTGCTATAACCAAAATGAGTAAAATCTTGGTTTGTGAAGTTCATAATTTATTGAACAGGAGTTAAAATCATGGTGCTAACATGATTATGCAAAATTCTATATTGAAAAATGATGCTAAAACCTTTTTATGTAACTGTATCAACTCTTTTATCTTGATTGAAATGATTTTTAGTTTTGAAGACTTGCCTTCAAAATACTTTTTTAATACAAAAATACATTTATTAGTTCTTATATGCACTCCTGCTTTGTGAATAAATTAGTATGCTTCACAAGAAATTTTCAATTACATTTACATACCAAAATTCATTTAGAAATTAAAATATTTATTTAAGACATCATCTGTTATATATATTCCAATTCAATTTTTTATTGCAAAAACTATATAGTAATACATATAAAACTGTCTTCTTTAATTTGAAATAAGGGGGGAAATCTTTTATTTTTGCAATGTCAATACTGTGGTTAATCTTTCCTAATCTAAGAACTTAATATTACACTTGCAATTCTTGTATGTGATCATGCACGTTTTAATTATTATTACAAATAATTATGCGATTATCTGCAAAATGTTTGAGGTTGATAAATTATGAATTTGCTGTTAATACATTGAATTGACTTTAAAATAAGTGTAAATTTCATGAGATACTTTTTTTATTAATTTTAGCTTAATCAAATATAAGAAAACAGTTTCTGCTAATTTCATGTATATCTTTGAAACTACTTTTGGTAATCATGTATTATACGATCTACCACTTTTAGTTAATTATTTATTTTTTAGATTGCCCCCAATTAAACTGGTTGTTTTAATAACTTTTTGCTGTCACCTTATTGTACTTTCGAATATGAAAGCTATTGAAATTTAAAATTTACTGAGTTATTAAGTTAATAGAATAATTTTCATATTTCGTAATGTGTGTGGCTGAACGACTCGTAAAAACGGCATTTTTAAGGGCACTTTTGTTTTGTAAATTTGGAAGGAATTTAATTGTTATTAAATTAATGGAATTATTTTCATATTTAAAAAATGTTTTAGTGGTGCTTTCTAAGAAATAACTAACTCAAAGCAGTAGATCACATACTGCATCAACAAACTTTCATCCAACCTTCCCATAAGGTGTTTATTTTTTGCAGTGAATGTTAGAAGTTTTGATTTTTTTCATATTTCAAAACCTTGTTTATTACATGTAAAATCTAAATTCATGTTATGAAGTAATTCTAATATGACAAAATATGTGCTTTAATAATTTTTAATTATTAAAAAAATTCAGAGAGATGGATTTTAAATCTAGCATATTTATAAAAGTATAAAATAACCCTTAAAGCCTCATAATTTTGTGTAGCTATTGCAACCTGGGAAATACAATACCTTATAAAGAGATAAATTAAATACTTTTTTCACTTAATGAGAAGTCTTCAAAGGCATTCATTTTCTTTAAAAAATGTCATTAGTTTTAATTGCCTTTTTTTTAAACTTATGTCGGTAATCTTTTCATTTTAAGAAGATTAAATGTAAGGCAATGAAGCTATAATATATGATATAAGCAAAAAAGGAAAATTAAAAACTATGATAAAATTATTTAATTTATAAAACTCCATATATTTTCTTTAAACTACTTATATTAATGTGTTTTTTTCTAAATTAAATATACGAAATATAAACATGTATATTTCGCAGTTATTTATCTGCCTTAGGTTATTTTTAATCCAAGGTATATATAAACTTATACACTAAAAAAGTAGACTAAGACTATTACATTAAAAAGGAGAAAAATAACCATGTACCTTCCTAGATGTTTGGTAATGTAAAAAAGAGCCATTGTAAACTGAATAAAACCATTTTATTTTGAAAAGTAAAATTAATGCAGAAATGTTTTAGGGAAAAATGGGGTTTCTGTATCTCCAAGCAATGAACTTCAATTCCTGTTTTTCCTGTCCTGAAAGCGCAACTTAGAATGCATATAACATAGTTCTACTTTAAAATATTCTAACACAAAATAGACTTTTCTGAAATAGCGTGCCATTTTATTTTCCATATTTCGATTCTCCATCTCAAATTATGCCTAAATACCAAAAATTTCATAAAAATTGCTCAGTTTTCTTTAAATATTTTCAATACAAGATCTCCATAATGTCAGTTAAATTTGGTTGTTTCATAAGTTTTCTTAATCGACTTTCTTTTTTGGCTTTCTTTTCGCATGATCTGTAAGTTTGGCAAGCATTTTATCTTCTTTGAAAGAAAAAATTAGTAATTCTTATAAATTTTTCAAAATTTTTTGAAAAATTATAACTTATGCAAATATGCACATTTAAAAGTAGACATATTTTAACATCTATTTAAAATTTAAGTTTTTTGTTGTTAAACATTTTGAAATATGAATATTTATATATTGTTAGGGATTTTGTATTCACTTGGCTGTTTTTAGTATAAGTGTAATTAAAATTATTTTGTTTCCCCATGCAATGCAGCGCATGTTGAATTTTAAGAGAAAGCTATGCCGAAAAAGTAAAAATACAGGAACACGAGCATATAATAAATAGATATCTCTTAATTTATATTTAAACTGGATAAATGTAATTGACTGCTGTGTTAGCTGTGACCGTAATTCTACGGTTTTTGCTTTCCAGAAATTGCTAGAATTGTCTCGCGCAGCCGATTTGAAAAGCTATGAAAGCTGGAGAGCAACATCTCAGTTCAGTTGTTTAGATAACTGTTGTTAGTAGCGAATTTGCGGTGTGATCGGATTAGCTTTCTCTGCGTTTTGGATTGCGTTCTATTTAACGTTTTAGAAGTTCAAAATATTACAGTGTGATATTGTACGAATATCTTTGAAGAAGAAACTAGCGTTTTGTTACCTTTCTTGTGATAAGAAATTTGATTAACTTTTTATCGGACTTGTGCATTCAATCTGTTACGAACCTGTGCGCACGCAACACTTTTTGGTGTCAGAAGTGGGATTGAAAGCCAATTACAAGAGCGATGGAAGAACAATTCAAGCAGTTGATGACTGCATTTGCTGCATTCCAAGAAAAGATGGATGGGGCCGTCAACTCA